TCCCCCACCCCTTCCTTTTAAAACAACATTCAGGAAGACTTTGGGCTTGTACTGATCTATTTTCTTCCAAATCTCTCTCCATTTGCTTTTGTCATAAATCTTCAAATCCCAAGTGTGTCGATATCATCTCATTGTTTGCTAGACAACCAGAAACTCTGATCGTGAGATTGAAGACCACGGCCTTTAAGAAGCACATTCTAAAAGCGTTCTCAAAGACCATGTTGGCAAGGCCAGGAAGAGGCTTGTGTTTGTAACTGCTGTGGCTTTAGGGTGACAATGAGGAGATATACACCACTACCCTTGACACTAATATCTAAAAACAAACAGTGCCTTTGTATGAAAAACAATGCTGAACCGCAGTATACTTTTTGAGGGTGCAATTCTGATTAAGACTTTGAAGACTGTATGTGAACCTGACTCTGTGAAAACCACCTAAACATTCTCACCTCATAATTAATAATAATGAGAATTTTAATATAACACTTCTGAAACACATCTTGTAGGCAGGTTAGGCTAATCCTCTTACCTAATTCCACTTAGTTTAATCCTCACACTGATCAGATGAGGTAGGTATTATTAATAACCCCATTGCTCAGATGAGGAAAGGAGAGGCAAAGAAGGTTCCAAATTTTGCCCAAACAGTGAAAAACAGGCTAGCCAGGAATCTCGCTCCAGCAGTAGGTGGTCAGAGGCCTCATTCTGAATGACTGAGAACAGGCTCAGGTTTCAAGATAAAACTGCAGAGACGAAAACTGAAAAACAGTGTCACTGAAGTGGCTTCCAAGTTTTTCTGTAATACAAACAGACAGCATCTCTTTCATGGTGTGGCTCAAACCAAATTAGAGTTCTCCGCGGAGACAAATTCAAAGTGATTTCCTGGTGATGAAGGAAATTTAAAGTAGCAAGGTCAAGCCCCAGACCTTTCCAACTTAAACATCCCCATTTTTAATTCTTCGTCTCTTTAGAAAACAGGGATCTGTGAATTTGCTCGTGGCTCAAAGGAGGTGGCCTGGTTTGTTGACACAAAATTCAAGGCAAAAATGAGAATCGCTCCCTGGGACAACTTTAGCCCAAAATGTGTGTTCTTTACACATTTTTAATTGGGACACAAATATATTAACAGTGTGGTTATTTTGTACTTTCAAAATTCTGTTTTGTAACTGATTCATATTTATATTTGGAATACATTTATTTCTGGGCATGAAGCAGTTCATTTTGTTAAGCCATCTGACCTGAGGTAAGGTTGGCACCATTTCCCAGGACTGCTCCCAATTAATGCAAATTGAAGGTTAAAGTATAAATAAAGTCCCTTTAACTCGGTTTATTAATATGTTATTTATAAATGACTCTTTACTCGGTCTATTTTTTTTTCAGTCTGTAACTATGTACAAATGAACTCTACAGAACAAACTAGCAAATACATAACGTGTATTTTATTGCAAAGTTTTCATTTAAGAAGAGTTACTATGATGGCAAAAATTTAATGTCATCGTTCTATTTCTTTGGTCTCAGGTCTCTCATCAAATTCTCTGGAGCCTGGGATAGACTGATTGCATTGCATTCACTGCCTACAACTTCAGCCCCCCTGGCAACTACCCTTTTGCCATGTAACTTCGCAGTTCCTCTCACTAAAGAGGTGGAGTCGATTTCCCTGCCCTCTTTGACGCAGCTTTTGGTCACATGACTTGCTTTGGCCAATGAACTGTTAGCAGGTATGCCGCATGTTGAAGTTTGAAAAAGTTCTTGTTATGTTTCTGTGTCTTCTTTGCTCCTCTAACTGCCATGAGGACATGCCTGGACTAGCTTGTCATGGCTCAGAAACGTGGAATGGCATTGACTCATGTCTCAGCCACCACTGTCCTACATCAGCCTACGGTAGCCAAGCCCCACACATATTAATCAGCCCAGGCAAGCTGGGCAGAGACACCCAGCTGACCCACTGCTGGACGCAGATGTATGAGTGTGTCCAGCTGGAACTCAAAGAACCACCCAGCCAATCCTCAGACTCATGAACTTATAAGTGCCAACTATTTCAAACCATTGAATTTTTTTTTAATTGCAGTATAGTCAGCTTACAATGTTGTGTCAATTTCTGGTGTACAGCATAATATTCAGTCATACCTATACATACATATATTTGTTTTCATATTTTTTCATTGTTTAAGTTACTACAAGATATTGAATATAGTTTTCCCTGTGCTATACAGTATGAACTTGTTGTTTATCTGTTCTGTATATATATCAGTTAGTATTTGCAAATCTCTAACTCTCAATTTATCCCTCCCACTCCCTCCCCCCTGGTAACCATAAGTTTGTTCTCTATGTTGAGTCTGTTTCTGTTTTGCAGATAAGTTCATTCATGTCTTTTTTCTTTTTTTAGATTCTACATATGAGTCTTATATGGTATTTTTCTTTCTCTTTCTGGCTTATTTCACTTAGACTGACGATCTCCAGGTCCATCTATGTTGCTGCAAATGGCATTACTTTACTCTCTTTTTTGTAGCCGAGTAATATTCCACTGTATAAATATACCATGACTTCTTTATCCAGTCATCTGTCATCTGATGAACATTTAGGCTGCTTCCATGTCTTGACTATTGTAAATAGTGCTGCTATGGACATTTTCGAATTAGCGCTCCCTCTGGATACATGCCCAGGAGTGGGATTGCTACATCGTATGGTAACTCTATTTTTAGTTTTGGACAAACCATTGAGTTTTGAGGTAATTCATTACTCCTCCAAGTCACGCCATGCAATGTGACTGTGCACTAGATACAACTGATGCAGGACCTACCACTGGTTCACCCAAAAGACAGATGCCCACATAGAAGAGAGTTTAAAATTACATAATAAAATTCATCAAATAGCCACCAAATGCCAGCTGTTTCAGTCAGGTTCAACCAGGAAAACATAGAGTGATCTAAGTATTTAAACAGAAGGACTATAGTGCCAGGAACTGATTGCCCAGGAGAAGGAAAGCTGTGAA